CTCAGAAGCTGATGCTGTTTACCTATTTGACTTATGGTTATTTATTAGTGTCAGAACACAGAAGGACCCTTATCGCAAGATTAGGCCTGTAGCAGAGCAGCATTTTGATACTCTTTTGGTGTATTCCTGGATGTTAGAGCCCTTTGTTCATTACTTTTATAGATCAGGTTCTCTAGACCAGGACCTGAATGCCTGGAGAGGTCACCTGTCCGTGGGTCTGGGCCAAGGGTTCTCCTTTCTCCCCTGCTCAGTGCTGCCTGAGGAGGGAGGGCAGACGTGGGGGCCTGCACCTCCCCCTTCTTGTCTATTATTAACTGTTGTCTCAGGTGATTCTAGTTTGCTGTATAGAAGGTGCCGATTATAAAATTTGCCTCTCACCTGTCCCCACGGAGAGCTGAGTGAGGACATATTCTTAGGTCCCTAAAAATTCTTACTTGTAAATACTGAGTTGTGTTGCTGACCCTAAATATCTGTCTACCTAGCACACAAGGCCAGATATCCTGTTCTAAGCTATTCTGTCCCTGGCTGACCACAAACCCCCTCTTCTCTGTTACCTTGCAAAAGTCAGATAAAAGGAGCATCTTCCATCAAAGGCCTGGCAGTTCCCCACTCTGATTTCTCCAGGGCTGTTCCATTTTTCTCTTCTGTCCACCATTTTCCAGTACTCACAGTGGGTTGAATATACTAAGTAGCTATTCATGGAGGAGGCCCTGGCAAAGATACTCCCAAATACTTCAATGTAGACACGTACCATGGCCCCATAAGGCAGAATGCATTCTGGACCAGGAGCAGGAGATGTGAGTAGGTTGTGGATATAGCCTAGATGTAGTCTGGTCATGGCACAGGTGAGGAAAGGTGCGTCTGCTGCAGCTAGATGGTCCGCATCAACACAGAGACCAGCACGGAGTCAGGCTCAACTGGTCAGTGGACTCCAGCTCACCAGGCCCCTGACCCTTGGGGCTAATAGTTCTGCTGACCAGCTTACTCGGCTCCTTCTTTCTTTTCTCCAGATAATTTGCTCTCTTAAGCTATATTTTTGATACTTAGCAGAAATGAGTCCTGTATTTCTGTCTGCTTGTATGTTGGTGTTTCAACCTGAGGATCCTCTGCCTTCTGACAGGAATGGCATTTATTCCCACCCGTCCATCTGCTTCACCAGGTCATTTGGTCTTTAACTGGTTCCTGTCTCTTCATCTCTTTTCTCTAGCTTCTAATATGTATATTGGTCAGTTATGAATCTGTACCCCAAGGTTTCCTCTTCTTTAGAGAATGTCATTGTTCCCATAAAGTGAACATAGATGTTAAGCTACTGTGTGCAAAAGAGTCAAGTAGGATGCATTTAGAAAAGCTAGGAACTGCAAGGGAAAACTTGGACCTAGGCACATGGTGTCTGAAGGTAGAAATCCTTCCTCACCCCCATTTTGCCTTGGGGGCGCAGTGCGGGGAGGCCTGGGAGGAAGTGGCCTTCCCGTACATGAAGCTGCGTGGAGACCATTGTTACTTCTCAGGTTACAGGCTGCCCGTTCCCCCCAGTATTTGGATGGTATTCTTCCTGAACAGTAAACTGATTAGGATTCCATCTCCTCCTGGCTTCAGATGTAGTCATAACTATTATTTAGAAAATATTACTTCACCTTCATCTAAAGGCCAGTCTCGCCCTGACCTTTGGATTGGTGTTAGATGGTAATGTTGGGGGGTATGTTGTAAATAGGCCGTACTTTTAGAGAAATGGCAAAACTAGCAGGTACCACTTCAATTCAATTCCGGTTACTTTTGGAACATATCAGTAGCAAGTATTTGTTCTCTGTCAGCAGTAGGCTACGTGCTGGACAAAAAGGGGATCAGGCATGGGTTTTCTATCTAACCAAGTGAGCAGATCAGCAAAGAATAACTGAAGACAATGACGGAGGCTAACCTTTGTTAAGCATTTACCATTGGCCAGACACCATATACTAAGGACTTTATACGCATTATCCAGCTTAATCCTTGAAACTCTGTGAGTGAAGCATTAGCATGCCCAGAGAGACTATGAAATGTGCACAGTGTCACACAGCTAATGAGTGGTCGAGCCCAGGATCTGAACTCAGGTCTGCCTGACCCTAATCACTGTGCCAGCTGCTTTCATACAAACTTGGTACCAAGCAAGAAAGCTCCCATCTTCCCAATGGAGGCGAAGCAGCAGGAACGCCCCTTCAGGTACCAGTCAGAGCTCGTCGTTAGAAACCAGACAGTGCTGCTACTCTGTTCATAACTTGTAATAATATTTTGTCAGTTATCTTAAGGATGTCGTTTTCAAGGGTGCAGGTTGCCTCAGAGGCCAACACAGCTAGAGGCTTCTGTCCAGGAATGATTATTTGTCGTTAATACTATTTGGTAAGGTTTCCATTCTATCATTTTGCTATACTCAGATTTAGAAAAACAGTTCAGTAAGATGGTGTGATTAGCCACCCCCTGAGTTTGGTTGCTGTGGAGACCTTCAACGATTTGGATTTCAGAGTCATAATAAAAAGGGCCAGGATTGTTAGCAGAGCCACGGGGGAGGTTGTTATCCTGCCAGTGGAGGGTGAAGCGTCCTCTTCTTCGTCGACTCTTCCGTTGGAAGTGGAACCAAGAGTGCTTATCTTTTGCCGTATGTCTGTACCGTGGTGCTGTTTCACGTTCTGCAGGGCATCACTTTCATAGTTAGTTATGTACAATAACCCCTCACCTCAGAACGAGTTTCCACTCCAGGACCAATAACATAGTAGTTGAGAAAAAGCGGTCAGGATATTTGAGTAAGTGCCTTATCTTTTGACATACAGGTTTCTAAAAAAGACATACGGTTCTTTTACATCTTTATTTTCCCCTGTGTGTACTCGTACATGCTTTGCGTTGTAGCTATTCACTGAATTTTTATCTTATTGCTGTTAGTATATCATTAGAGCTTTATTATCACCAAGCCATCGTTTAGAAGAACCCCCTTAAAAGTAAAACTTACATATTTAGATCTCTCAGAAGCTCCACATTTTTTTTAAACTGGGACAGACAGACATTATTTTCTTCATTGGTAGATAAAGCACATAGTACTTTCAGAACAACGCTAGCATCTTACTGACCTTGCTTTACATAATCACTGTCTTTTTCTTACTGAGATTTTTACACAAATTCTTTGCAATTAAAGAAAATTTAGTACTAAGATCGGTAGAGGTGTTCAAGTATTAAAGTATATCCTGATGTAGAGAACTGTGATTTCGTGTTTTATTATTATATCCAATTGTTGGAGGCACAGGAGATATACTAACTTACTAACCTGTATAATATCATTCTGAAGGAAATAATGACAACAGTGGCTTCTGTTTATTGAATATTCACCATGTGCCGGACACTGTGTTAAGTACCTTACATCGATTATCTCATTTAATTCTCAAAACAGTTCTATAAGATAGGTGTTATTTTACCTATGCATAAATAAGCTCAAAGGTTTAAGTACCTTTCCAGGGTTCACCGTGTCAGAGTCAGAATTTGAGCCCGGTTTTATGGAACTCTGAGGCCCATGGAACATTATAAAGAGAAATGAACGTGTTCCCTTAGTCATGCTCATGGATGTGACTATTGGCTTCTGACGAGAGCAGACTGTTATTCGACCATTTCCAGCCATTTTAATGGAAGGCATAGCATACGCAGTTCTTTCCGGTCCGAGGGAAAAGTAGCAACATAAAAGAACATGAGTGATAAGACCAGCAAATACTCAGTGGAGTGCAGTACTGTCTGATCTTTGCTGTAGAAAAGCTGGAGACTTGGGAGCAGAGCTGACACACAAAACCTTGGGAAGGTGGTCTTTGCTAACAGAGCACTTCATTTCTTCACTGACCTTGCCATCGTGCTCCCGTCTCAGCCCTCAATTAAGCTGCCATTAGCCTAGGATTTATAAGGTGTCGCTGGTCATTCAAGAGACAGCAACAGAGGTGTGGCTGAAAAGTGGGACAACAAAGAATGGAAATGATTTTCATTTCCGTTCAAGTCAGCATGACAACAAAACCGTAATGACTCCGGGACAGAACCAGACCGTCCAGCCAGGGGCATATAAATGATTCGTAACCTTTCCAGGAGGGACATTTCCTCCTCCTTAGACCAAGGTGCTCATGGTTTCTTCCTGCCTGTGGTTGGAACACACAAACTCAGGGAGCGATCAGCAGTGGTGATGTTGCCTTTTTCCAGAAGAGAATCTGTGTCCCGCTCTTCCTGTAGGTTTCTAAACAATGGAGTACATTTCATTAAGGAACTAAGAAGTTTTTGACTGAACCAAATGCGAAAATATTGTATGGCAGTGGGCCATGTGAATTAGGCAATTTTAGAGTGTTTTCTAGGAACTTGAAGTGTTACAAACTTTAATTGAATAGGTAGGATTATATTAGTTTGTGTTTAAGATATAAAGTGCAGCTTTGGAATTCTTTTATTAGACTTCAATTAATTTAAAAGAAGAGTGTTATTCCTTTAAGGGTGAAGCTTATTTTAATTTCACAAATTTGAAAATAAACTCTGACTTTCGATTTACAAAGGGAAGATTTAACAAGATTTAACAATCTGGCATCCAAATTTTAAGTATTGCTCTTATTCAGGACTAGGAATATCCTGGGTTGTGGAGATAGTCTTGAAAATTAAAGTTTAGGAAAATGTGTACCCATGCAAATTAATTTTCGGATTAGTTTTCTATTATTCAGCTAATATGTCGATACCTCTGTCCCAATTTACTTAGCACTTAGGAAAAGTTGATTAGGGATTGAAGCTCTGAGAAGAAGTCAGCCTATTTCCTCGGTTCTCTGTGTTTTGAATGACCAGTGGGCTTGGCCAGATATTCTGGCCTAGAGATAAAGCTGATGAAAGTCAGAGCTGGGGCTTTCCTACTCGTGCACTCATCAGTCTTCCCCTAAGCCACAGTCTGCCTTTCGATAGCTCTAATAATTAATTTGCTCTTCTCTCTTCTTCCTCCCCCACCCCACCCTCTCCCTGTCTGTTCACAGGTTATCTTGACGAATCAAATTACAACCCATCTGAGCAGAGCGCTAGCTTCTCAGGCAGACCTGGTGTCTCCAGCTGATGATTTGTCCCTGTCTGAAGGTAAGGGATCTGTCCTAGAGAGGCTGAAACTTGACACTGACATACAGCCCCACCACCTCTCTGCCCCCTGTTGGGAGCTGGGAGACGCAGCTAAGAGACCCTGGCCAGTGAACCCATCCAGAGCCTGGTGATTTAGGCTCGGCCCCCTTTCCTGGCATCCAGTCCCTTATTTTTGGAGAGTATCTTGCTCTGTCACTGTAAGTGAGCTTCCTTTTTCACCTGAGTCATCTTAATAGGCATCTATCACCTCCACCTTGAGGCTTATCACTCCTGTGTAGGTTGTTTTGGGTTCTTAGTATGAGGACTGGCGAACTGCTAACTGACAGTTTTTGAGACTGATGCTCACAGCTTGGCTTTACCAGTGGTCTCTTGGCGATTGAGCACTTTTTCTGTGCTGGGCACTTTTAGGCCAGTGTGATGTCCCAGTGGTGTGGCATCAGCTTTACAGAAAGGTTAAGACAGGCACTCCGTGTTGGTAAATCTGCAAAATTTTCTCCATCCTCCTGTGTTAGCAAAGGTCAGGCTGGCTATGACTTACGTAGCTAGGGGAACCACACCACTGAGCCAGTGGGTGGTTTCTACTTTAATTGAAAGTTCTTACTTGACATTTCTGAGTTCTGCTAGTTGTAATCTTTCAGGGCAAAATGCCATGAACCTATATATATGTGCATGGATGTTCTGGGCCCCTCAGAGCTTTCCTCTGTCTGAGAATCATTCCTGACGGACTGCATGGGACTCCCAGGCCCTCCAGGCCTCCTGACTGCCCAGGTGGGCTTCCAAGGGTCGGCCTCAGCTTACGGTCCCCACATTGCAAGGACTACACCCCTGCTTCTTGGTGGTGTTTTTTCAGAGTGAAAAGTAATTTCTCATTTGAAGCAATGGTAAAAGGCACTCTGTACCCTGTTTCCACATTTAGTGATGCATTATCGTGCCCCCATTACCTGGACTGAAAAACCCGAGTCGTTTAATGTCCCTCCCACTGTACATTCCTTTCACCATCAAGCCCCCGTGGTTCTTTTTTCCACATGTATCTGGTGTCCCTTCTTTTTTTGGTAATGTGTGTTGTGATCAGCTGCCCTGTGAAACTCCCAATTGGATTATTCTAATAAAATTCCAAGATGACGCCCCGACTCCAGGCTCGACCGTCTCCATTCTGCCACTGCCATCGAACTTGCCTGCTCTGGCTTCCCAGTGCTGTGCCGCTCCCCCTAAGAAATCTCGGAGTTCAGCACATTTTCCGAGAATGGGCTAAAATCAATAAGCTCATTTTAAAACAGTTAGGAATTTGTGATTTGTTCTCATGGACAACAGCAAATGCTAAGAATTGGAGTTTTTCTTCTCCTTCTTTTTTTTTTTTTTTTTTGCATGGGTCTGTTTCCCAACACCAGTAGATAAAGTCAGTACTTCCTAACGCTTCACAGTCTGCTCGTTCCCTCCTGTTCGCCTGTGTCCGCACCATCGCCGAGGCTGAAGCGCCGATGCCAGATGTGCCCACTCGCAGCCCGTGGCCCCCACGCCCGCCCCCGTGCCTCTGCAGGGGCAGCTTGCCGTGTCTGGAATAGCATTTCCCCTTTTCACTTCTACCTCTTCTCTTCTTCCCACTCCCACTCCTTCGAGGTTCATGTAAAGAGCACCTCTTCCCCAAAACCTCCCTGCCTGCTCCAGCGGGCTTGGGTCTCACTCTCTGTTCCTCCCCTGTGGTCCCTCTATTGCTCCGCTATATAAAGAAAAGGTCTAGAAAAATTAACTTAACTTTCCGTGGTTTCCCAGCTCGATTGGCAGATATTTTAAGGACACAGACTATTGTGTGTTCTTTTTGTGTCTACGTTGTGCTGGACTAACAAAGTCCTAGGCACACAGTAGGCTGTAAATAAATGCTGACCGCATGTCGTAGTTAACACTTTGTAAGGACAGCGACCATGAGAATCACACAAAACACCTGTGAACATCATTAAAAATTTTTATAATGATTTCATATTACCACACACACGCAGTAATTCAGCTCTTCAAAGAAGAAAATACCTTGTTTCCTTATTTGAAAACCAGTGAGAGCGCTCTGCTTTGGGCTTCCTGGTGTATCTCAAGCACAGAAGAGGAGTGAGACAGTTAACAGAGGACACTCCTGGGGGCCTCCAGTGTCACCGCTGCCAGAAAATGGTAAAGTCGCGTTCGTGGCAAAGGAAGGGGGACCAGCTCACTCTTCGACAACTTTTTCTATTATGAAACCCGAGGGAGAAGGGAAACAATTGATTTTTTTTTAAGATCCTTTTCTTGCATAGCTGAGCAGGTAACGAGGCTGTAAAAATATTTTTTCTGAAGTCTATGATGAAATTCCTTACCAGTGAATTAAAACGGACAAGTTTCTTAGCATACGTATACCTATTCAAATATATGACAGTGTTCGTTAATATTATTACCATGATTAATATGGATAAATTGCTTTGTCGCTGTTTCAGGCATTTGTGGTGTCAGCTTTGCCGTCATTTTGTCAGCTCTGTGGTCATGAGCAGGTCTTTCAGCCTCTTGGCCTCAGGTTTGCCTGTTAAGTGACAGGTTGGATGAATACACAATTGCTGAAGTCTTTCTCTAACGTCGTAAGATCATGATGTGGGTCTGAAGATCAGGAGCATTCACTATGTGATGGGGTTTTAAATTCTGATTTTTCAGAGTGGGGAGAATGACTGTGTTGTCCTAGATTAAGCATAATAGGAAGGATCTTCAGAAATCTTAGTGTTGATACCTTTGGCATGCCGCTAACAGTCTCCTTTCCCATAGTGTTCTCTCTCTCTCTCTCTCTCTCTCTCTCTCTCTCTCTCTGTCTCTCTCAGTACTTCTGGTCTTATCTGTCTGTCTCTTGCTCTTCCTGCCTTCCTTCCATCCAAGTGTGTGCACAAGAAGTGGATACAAACCAGTGCAAGTGAGAAACACACCCTAACGAGTGAGCTCAATGTCCACCCTGTCCAGTAACAGATTTGAGCTGCAGCACAGAGGGCACAGCTCAAACAGCACTCCCTTGAAAACAGTGGTGGGGTGAGAACAAGGGACCACAGAGCAGCCAGCAATAAAATGGTCCCAGTTGACCTGAGAGGAGCACCCAGCAGGGGCTGACTCGGGGAAATGAAGTCCCTTCTGCTCTGACACAGAGTGAGGAATACAAGTGACCTGGCCCAGCTGAGAGATCTCTTCCATCCCAGCGATCCTGTACTATTAATATCTGCCAGCTGCAGGCCTAGAGCGTCTGCCTGCTGAGATCAAAAGAACGCCTATCTTAGCTGGAGCAAGGTCATCTATCTGCACAGGGCTGTAAAAGCGAGCCCTGGCTGGCTCAGCGACCTCTGCAGGGGAGGAGAAGTCAGGACGTGGGGAGGTGCTCTCTCACGCTCCTTTAATCTCAGCTGACCAGCTGTTGCCCTCCCAGTGTTTGTAAAGTTGAGAGTTCTTTGTTTTAGTGTTGCTTGTTTTTTTTTTCCTTTGCTAAATGTGTGGCTAGGTTGTCGCTTGGATTATGTAGACCCATGTTCACTGCTTGGGTCTGTGGGATGATTCCCTTCCCTGAGGTTTCATGCCTGTGTTGAACTACCCATCTCCCAGGAGGGAGAAGCTCAGAGGGGCGAGTGGACCCCAGAAGCCAAGGACTTGCCCGACATTGCTCCTGCCGCACAGCTTTGTGCCTTGAGAAGGAATGACAGGACAGACAGAATTTTCCCTGTTTCATTAAAAGACCTCCTCATGTGTGTGGTGTGGTTGTCGATGTTTAGCCTGCCTCTTCCAAATGTTATTTCATTCAGTTGGAGGAATGGAATTTTCAAGACTTGATGCAAATTGACCAAAGTTATTCTGTGAACCTAAGGGCAAAAATCAAGATTTTAGAAAAATAATCTACATGGTTCTTGAGCAGGCACTGTGTGTCAAAGTATTTTCTTCTTCGGTTTTTTGTTCTGTTGACAGAAACTCAGGCATCTAGGGTGTTACAGAGTTCAGTGACTGGTCATTGACTAGGGTATTGCAACTGTTCTGTGGCCAAGGACATGTTCCTTCGATGCCCTTACTGGTTCTTCCTGGAGGTCATCAAAGATACTAAGGATGATTGGATCTCGGTCATAGGGAATATCCCTTTTGCCCAGGGTGATGAGCAAAGAAAGGACTTAACAGTCCAGCTGGCCAAAGACACTGTATCTAACTCTGCAGTCCCCTGGGATTTGAACAGGACTTAGCCCCTTTTCAACCAGGCACAGTTGGTGGGTGAGACTGAGGAATGGCGACAGTGGGCCCCGTGTGAGACAGAAGCTCTGCTCTCCCTAGACCGTCAGTGTAGTTTCCTCTGATGATTCAACAGGATAGCAGTCCCTTCGATGCAGAGACACAGCCATTCCAGCTGCCCCCGGAAGCCTCGTGGAAGGGAAGACCTCATTAGGCTGCCATCCTGGCCTCCCCAGCATCCGGCATGTCAGTATTCTTCTTTCTGCAGTAATAGTTTTTGATAGATAATAGCACTTCAAAACTAAAAATGAAAAGTGCATGGATGGGTCAAGGAAAGAACATAAGAAAAAAAAAGCAGTACTTACTAGAACCAAGAGTGGTTTCCAGTTTTCCTGTTGGAAGGCTTTTTAGTTCGGTTGAATTGATGTGCGAGAGAAAGTATGTTAGGATTCATACGCCCTAGGAAACCATCCCTGCAAAAAGCTGGAGTCCATTTGAAAGATTATATGCAAGTGCGTGGCTTGTGTCTCTTCTAAAATAAATTCACCAAGTAACAACAGCCCAGAGTGGCTGGGGCGAATCAGGGACTCGTGGTTGTGAAAGAAGCGGACTTCAAAGCGTGGTATGAATTTTCAAGTTTTATTTCCACTCTTGCTTTCCAGCTGGATCTGCTCTGGATTTACTGCAGGATGTTTGAAAATGCGGCTCCCTGCTAATCTCAGACAGTTGCTATGATCAATGGTTTCTTTCATTTCCGATAAAAAACACTGGTGTTTCTGCTTAAATTGTGTGTACTTTCA